ATAAATGCGCAATTCGCCAGTACATTCAACACTGCTACACAGTAACCAAGACAATGCCAACACTGACAGTTTATCGCTTTACATACCCTCGGCACCTTAATGGTAAAATGGACTGCACCGCTTTTCAGATGCACGGGTTCAAATGACAGGTCGGCATTATTCTTAAGTTCGTCTCACAGTACAAGGTTCACCTCAGAAGAATTTCAAAGAGACTCCCTTCCCATTCCTAATGCAATACTCCTTACAACTTTCAGCAGTACTTCAGTAGTATCGGGATATATCGTCTCTTGTGGCGATACATCGATGTATCACAGACCCTTGCGATATAAATATCCTGATGTATTGCCTAAATGTGTTTTGTATTGATGCATTCGTATCGCATAGTTGACTATGCAAACATCGATACTATCGATGAATCGTTACACCACTAGGTGTGATGGCCTCTTTTGATTCGGAATACAGATGTTGTCCCATACGGACGTTTTCTCAAATTTCAGTTACCCGAAGGAATATACTGTACACCTGTTTTGATTCCATCTCTTGGGTAGATTATAGAAAACTGTTGTGATTGCAATTAGTTAATAAATTTAGATAAATAAGCAGTTTCTGTAATTATTGAAAGCTTACTACCTGACAGTATTTATGTTGCTCATGCGTTTTTAATTTTTGCTTTTTGCTGTCTGGTTTGTTATACATTATATAATATTGCTAATCATTCTGGCATCCCAATATCATGGAATATAATGTGAACTTGTTAATCTATCAAAGTACCGAAACGTTTTATAAGTATGCTTTACTGTTATTGGGTGAAACTGTTAATTAAATGTACCTCCGTACAACATTTCCAGAAATTAATAGAAACTGAAAATTGCGAAATAAATGGAAAACTAAATTGGGTAAAGATTGCAAACAGTTATTATTTATATACCTATTTTAAATTATCAGTGTGCAGATCATGTCACAAACATAAAAACTGAAGGATGGGTGTGGAACAAGTGGAGGAAAACACGTGCAAAGTCTCTGAGTCAGCTGTGATTATCCTTCAAAAACATCATATGTACATTTAACAATCACTTATCATTAAGGCAACCAAAGCATTACAAAAACGCCATATTTCCAGACAGCATAACATCACCTTTTGCTGGAGTTCTAAATATTCGATACCGAAAGCCTGTCAGTTAACTCAAAGGAAATAACACTTGTGCTTTACAGTGATGGTTTAATCATAGTCACAATGAATTATAGGCTGCTATGTGTTTTCCAATGTGATTGAGTCAGTGAAATACTAATATTTACCAAATCAAATTCTAAAGGAGCTTTTCTTCAAGCAGTGACTTAAAGCCATACATAGCTAAACTTGCTTAGATTATAAACTTCATATAAGGCATCACAGATATTTCACAAACATGGTACAGGACCCTTAGCCTCATTAGCTTATTGCCTCACCACTTGCGAATTAAGCGTTGGCAGATGTAACTGTTAATGAAGATGTTGGTCCCCGCCAGCCGTCGGTGTTCGGTATTGTTTACTCTGTAACCCGAACCCTGCAGTGAGTTTTAACAGACGCTGAACCTGGGAATATCTAGATATGCTTCATTTAGGGCGTAAGCATTGCAGTAAGGGCTGGGCGGAAGGGGAAATAATATCGTTCTCTGACTATGATAAAACAGAGACTATATAATAGACTATTGTATGGTCTCTGGATACAGATTGGGACAAGATATGGAAAACAAAATATTTGGACAAGACCATTGTTTGGGTCGTTTAATTGTAAATATGATTCCAATAGCTTAACCTAGATTTCGATATCCTTCGAATGTACATTTGGTTGAAACTGGACTGTATACATGTATCCCGTGACAAGAACGAATACTTAATAATTCAAAAGCATAACAGCACGAGTATCCATTTTGTCTTTTGTCAATTGTGTCTCCAGGTCACGGAGCATCAGTGGTTTAGGGGCCCGTATTGCAATTCTCGTGCGTTTCCATGTGTTGTTGACGCGGCATGGACGCCTTGTAACATTACTATTTGATTATGATTCACAAACACATGCTCATGATATGGTTGGAATCGTGCCATGGATTAGCAGATATTTATCATGAAGGTTTTTTATGTAAGTGGCTTGAAACGCGCTTTGACAAAGGCCTATAGTTCGATCACATTAATATTCGTTTGACAGCTTCTTTTCTATAAAGAAGCTCACGCCAAAACTGATTTAAATTCTAATCGCAGATAAAAGAATAAGACAATAAATAGTATACCAATTATCGTTACCATGACAACCCTGTGACATTTCACCTTATGTAAATGAGAAATAAATATGATGCTGGGTATGGCAGTACTACTGCAGATGATAGTGTATGTCGTAAATTTCAGTAAGTTGCAATTGCTGCAGCACTATCCCTAATCACTGGATATCTATACAATTAAATGTGTGATGGAGGAGAACTTGCGTCGCTACTTTTCTCAATAATCTGAATACATGTATGTAGCGTGAAACAGGCAGATACCTATAGAAGAAAGTGTTTGCCCTACCTGTAACAACCATGTCATGTGTCTATAAAGGGGATATAATGTGGGAATGAATGACACACGTACTTTTATCTGGGCCCGTTTATGATAATACATATTGCGATCTTTCACAATAATCTCACTGGCTATCAGATTGAGGATACGTTTCAAACATAACCGGTATTTCTATTATTGTATTTATACAGCAACATTCTTCGAACTTTCTCCATATACATCCGCCAGATACATTGCACACTACCCCTTTCTCTCTTGATCTTCTCAAACAACTGTTGCAAGTTCGAAGAATCGTGGTCAAAGTAGAAAAGTCTTAAGACTATTCCCTACAAATCTCTAACTTACACATTGTACCATAAATGAGTAGAGCTTCCGTTAGGGGGAATATCAGGAAGACAACGATACCATTATCTCCAATGTTGTAGAAAGCACTCCACTTATTTCGAAAACAATAACCCACTGATATATTGCATTCTTGTTGGAATCGATATTTTCGGCACCTGTCAGATCTGAACTTGAACATGCCAGGTCTGCGTCTATGTCAGGTTAAAGGTCTGCAAGATGTTTAGCAACACTGGGGCGTAACAGTCATAGGCCTGCTCCAAACAACGGAATATATATCTTGTTTGAAGGACTTCTCCGACTTGGAAAATTACAGCAATGCATCATCACATTTACTTGTGTGACATTTGCTTTCGGAATCTGGGTTTATGGATCGTCAATTTAAACAGGACAATCAAGACAAATTACAAAAGGCACAGAGGCCCAACATGCCAATGGTATACACACCCGCCTGTGCCATCCGGACATAATCGCTACACGATAAAAACTATTTTTTTGTCTGGCGTTATTACAGCAAAGGCTGAGCGGAAGGAGAAATAACATGGTTGAGGCACTGTGAGACTATTAAGAAAGGTCACACCAAGTGCAATAATATTCCAATTATGTACTGCCAAAACTTATTTTACAGTACAGATGACTTAAGAAATTACGAGTTGGTTCGTGTAGCGTATTTGGCCGTGATCAAAGAGAGATAGACTAATGCTTAGTCTCTGAACACATATAATTTTGATAGTAACAAACAAGCCCATTTAAATTGAAAAGGATCTACTGGGAGACTAGAGATTCAGAACCTGTGGAAATCTAGATTTGCTTTATTTAGGACTTTAGCACTGCAGAGAGGGCTTGGTAGTCTGTCGTACAGACCCTGAAGCAAATATATCCAAGAAAGCCCACACAAGTCTAGAAAATGTGGCAAGTCTAGATTTCCTCAGCTTCAGAAAATGAAGAAAGTCTCAGGGCTCCTTTTCATTATATATATTTTTTTTTACTATGAACGTTTTTCAGTAAAATATGTTCATTTCAGAGACTAGTTGTTAGTCTAAGGGCTTGGCAGCAGGGAAAGTAATGTGGTTCAGGAACTGTGAGACAGACTGCAAGAGAGATAAAGTGCTATTCTTTTGGGGCAGCTAGGGACACTTGCAAGGACGAAGGGGCAGCTCATCGCCCTTTTGTTCACCACTCACAAGATCTGCCAACAATGCAGACAAAGCGTAACTGATACTGGCAACAAGTGCGAGCGCAGCTTAATAAGCCATGTTAGCTTGCGTAATACCGCTTTCTTAGTCAGGCTCTTTTAATGATAAGTCACATAAATGTTGATTTCAAACGTACTAAAATGTGTGAAAATGAAATTACATGAACCAAGTAATTCACATGATGGAAACAAATGATCATCTTGCTTGAGCACAGGTAACATGAAGGTGTATGAACCGTTCATATACGTACCCCTGAAATCCGGTATGATACATAAATATCTAAGGTGTGTAAACATTTGCACATGTGAAAATTTACAAGTGTTTCCCAACCTAAGTAAATTTACATGTTTCCAACATGGGTAAACTTAGAACGAAATCGGAAATTTCAGTACCCATTGAAATTTAAAGGAATGCATCGGAAATACTGTATGATCATGTATTTACTGGGGTATCTGTTTTGCAATTCATGTTTGGAAACACCTGACAATCCGGTCATGGCATACATGAACGAGGTACTTGTGCATACGAAAATGTACGATGAGCATATGTTTCAAAGGTATAGAGTCATATGAAATGTATGCCCGAAGTTAGGAAATATCTGAAAACATACGTAAATCCGGTCATGGCATGTTTTTCCTACTGTATTTACGTTATTTCAATGGTTTACTATCCGGTTTTTGGTCCTGTGCATATAAATACAAAATCAGAAATATTTGCACTTTATTACGCAGTAATGTAACAAGAGGTGACTTTGTCAGTGGTCTCTGCATGTGGTCTTCATGTAATAGTCGTTGGTTTTAGGGCAAAATAAAATCATTCGAAAGTGACATTTCGTCATAGGAGATAACCTAAAGCAAGAAATATGATGCTTATTCCCATATTTACAGCACATTTTATGAAAGATGTTCATGTGTAAAATGACCGACAACTTACCTTACTTTCCAACAAATGCAGATTTCCTTCCCTTCTAAGAACTGATGGCCACTGACACAACCAACTGCGTTCTAAAATGTCAAAAGCATTACACTTATATGCCTCTGTAGGCTGCGACGCGTAACATCTATTGACGGTAAATGTATACCTTGACGTAGTCAATTAACTGTCTTTATACGCAAGTCAGGTCTTCAAAACGTTTCGTCATTTCATATCCTCCAGGATCCCGTTGTTCCCGCCATGTTAGAGGCAATGGGATGCGGAAAACACTGCTATGTTGTTTGAATGTAAATTGAACTTTACGTTCAAACTGCTGACTGCTTAACACTTCCACTGCCACAATATTAGCAACAGCGTAGATTAAACGCCATAACCACAAGCACACACTGCACGTACTTGGTGAAGTCACAGTCTGAATGCAAACACTATTTTTAGGTCCAACAACCGACAAGTCGAAATGCATGTCAGCAGGTGTGAATGAATTCGGGTCATTCGACACCAGTGTGTGACAGAATTGCGTTACTTGTAGCTTAGGCTGTTGTGACTATGTATTTGCGCTTTCACTCTGCAGTTGTGTTAGGATCTTTGTTTGTTTGTTTGTGGTCTTTGGAAGGCAAAAGTTAGAAAGGAATTTCCAAACAGCTACTTCCAGACCCTGACGTTGGTTGTTGACGGAGATAGTAATAAATGTTGGTCACAACTCTAGTAAATTTGATGTTGTTATGAAACAAGTATAGTTTTATAGAGGTTTTTATAATGTCTCATCTTACCGTTATCGTTAGTTTTAATGTGGAAATATCTTATCAATATGGACACTTGCATTCACACATAAACGCATCGTTAAATTCGTGTTTGAGAGGTATATATCTTGACAGTTGCTAGCTGGATAATAAGACACATTTATATTATTGGCAGGGTGAAAGTGAAGTTAGTCTGAAAATACATTCGTTCAGATTACAGGGTTTCTTCCCACGTTTACTATGCCCTGTCACTTTATCAAGGGGATATTTTCATTCCCAAGAAGTGACGTACATGTATTTGCCGAAACTTGGTGCAATGCACGAGGTAAAATTACAAAAATCGATGATTTAGCTATATACAGATTTTCATTTTCGACACATTTAAAATCGAAAGCGAAAGGCGGACAGTGAAAGGCTACCACCCGTAGAAGTTTTCCACGATGCATCATCAATGAATATATTTAGATTATGTCTGGTGTTGTAATGGAGATCTGTGTAACCCTGTTCATATCAATTAGTAGTGTTGCTCCTAATTTATGGTTGTAACTCACTATCTGCACTCATAATAAAATAAATAGGTTAACACATATCTTGATAATTATTGAGGAATTACCCAGTTATGTTGGGAAACGTTTCGCATCTACACTCCACTCTTCTGTCATAATTCTGAAATGCGCACTTTATTATAACAGAAGAATACGTTTGATTTCAAGATGTATTTTCCATAACCGACAATATATTCACAATGCACAGTGTAACTAATATTCTTCAGTGTAGAAAGTGCATTAATCGATTTTAGAAACGCGTTTGATTATGTAGGTCTGTCTGTAGATATTAATATTGCATGCTGGTGTAAACAGAAATCTTTTATCAACCTTTGCGAAGTCATAAAATCCATATCAGACTATTTCTAATGTATAATAAGGGTCTGACAGGGAGGTCATCTCTCGCCAATATTATCCAGCTTGAAAGACACAGCTGTGAAAGTTTCAAAGTATCCTTTATGTTAGCTGATGAGAACATACCAATGTCTATTCAAACTGTTGTCCTGTAATATGTTTATGCCGCATGGCTTTTAAGAAAACATAAGAAAGATTTAGTCACTTACTGATAAAGTTGCTTCTTTTTGTAAGTTAATTTTTCAAAGACATACTTACTGGCATTGGTTTCAATTAAAAAGATAGGAAATGTAGACTTTGTTGAGGCTTATGTACTATCTTTGTATGATATTCCTCTGATCAGGTAAAATAAGTTACGATAAACCCTGCAGCACAGTTAAGATCAAGCGAACAGGGCAATGTAATTTGTGATGCATAAAAGCAGACTGCATTTTAATCACTACTGTGGGATTTAATTTATTTGCTGTTGTAATATCCATACTGTGATGGGTTTTTTCTGTTTAATGAAAATAAAAGGACGGCTCTCATTTTCTTTTATAGAAAGGCTGCATCCTTTTAACTCTCTATTTCCAAAACGTTTACTTGTAAGCAGCGGAATTGCTGCTCGTCTATGCTGCAGTTGTAATTGATAATTAACGACTGGATGTCCTGACCGATTTGCCACTAGATTGTCTGATCTGTTTGTCACCCTCCACCGTGTAGGGCACTTGTACGTTTACGCAGATTTGGGCTGTAAATACTCTTTTCATAGATTGTTCCTGATGAAACCTGTTCATAATCGAAAATATGTAAGAAAGAGAAATATTTTGTTGATGACTTTGAAACACCCTGTAAATGGAAGTGGGTGGTTTAGCGAAGGTTTTAAGCAACTAAGCTACATCGCAGCAGTAGCTACACGTTGAGCACATGTGGATTATCCGAGCAACACATTCAATGAAAACCCCTTCAACTAGACCAACAATTACCTGGCTGCTTTTGTGGGCATTCGTGTTTATTATGACATAGTTGCGTTTGCCCCTTTCAAGGGCAAGTAACAAAGCTGTGCGCTGACCTGGTTTCGTAGCTCCCGGGGAATAGCTAGCTAATACATGTAGGTGGGGAGGGCAATGTAACAACATTGGGTAGGACAAACTGGATCGGGAGTATTCAAACATTAATGAAATTGTTTCACTGGTAAGCATATTCCGATGCATTTTTCATTCTAATGCTCAAGACCAAATGAACTGCAAGCAGCTGATAACTCTGTACGCGTTTTTTTCACTTTATTTATATTTATTATCACATCTAGCTTCAAACAGGTTTCCACTGGAGATGTAACACTATTAAATTTCAAATATGAAATCATCATTTCGTGAATCATTTTGCCTGATTCTTATGCAACATATATAGGTAGTCAATGTATTTTCTTTTTCATACTGATGTGTGGAATGAATGCTAATACCACCATCATTATCATTTGGACGTACACATGAACATGCAGTATACATTAACTGAGGTAAATTATGTTTTATAGCTTTAGTTGCCGTATAATATCTTACAAATGTACCTGTCTTCACAAACTTTTACCTCAACCGTTAATGCCGGGTGCAAATAACAGAGCAACACATCGTTGGGTATGTTAGTAAGTGCTGCTTTTGTCTTCGTATTCGTATGTAACATGGGCCGGTGTCATGGATTTCCCGAATAGCAAACAACAATTGATATATTGATTATAGTATGTGAATGTGGCGCCCGGAGGTAAGACGCGTGGATGCGTCACTCCTGTAATCACGTATGATAACACAACATGTACAGTGTAAACTGAGACGCGTGGATGCGTCACTCCTGTAATCACGTATGATAACACAACACGTACAGTGTAAACTGAGACGCGTGGATGCGTCACTCCTGTAATCACGTATAATAACACAACATGTACAGTGTAAACTGAGACGCGTGGATGCGTCACTCCTTTAATCATGTATGATAACACAACATGTACAGTGTAAACTGAGTGGCGTGGATGCGTCACTCCTGTAATCACGTATGATAACTCAACATGTACAGTGTAAACTGAGACGCGTGGATGCGTCACTCCTGTAATCATGTATGATAACACAACATGTACAGTGTAAACTGAGACGCGTGGATGCGTCACTCCTGTAATCATGTATGATAACACAACATGTACAGTGTAAACTGAGACAGACGAACAGGATTTCAGTAGCGATTGTTGTCTCTGCATGAAACTGATACCCGATGTGACCTTTGTGCATGTAATACGCCAATAGCAAAATTTATAAAACGTACTGGATATGATGTTGATTTCAGATGAGTGGTTGAATGTGAGCATGTTATGTCACAGCCAGTCCCTGACTGACTGATGGGACGTTCACTTCCAGCAGTCAGGGCACACAATGTTACACTCATTACCTGATCTTCCGCTTGGTGTCGCAGCACTTCTCGACCGTCAGAACTGAGTGAGTGAGTGAGTTGAAATTTATCGTCACATCGGCAATATTTCAGCCATATCGTGACGAGAACAATGAATTTTATACATAGTAAGTAATGGCAAATTGTAAAAACCTGTCAACGAAGGACAGTAAAATAACTAGATTATCACAGATTCGACTTTAAAACAAGTAATTAAATCTGAAACAGTTTAACTATAGATGACAATACAAGGTAAAAACAGGCTATATATTGCCAACAACTGAAGGGAGATCACCATACTAGGGACCATGGGGACTTACAGTACATTTGCTTCCTGCATGGATTCCTAGCTGGATTTACACCATCCCTTCAGCTATTAGCAGTGTTAGATAATCTAGCCTCAAATTAAACGAAGATATATTCTACGATTAAAATGGTAGTAGGTTTAAATTGACTTTGAATGTCTTGGGGACCTACGTACCCTCTCAGGAGGACAATAATTTTACAGTACTTTAACCCCCTTTGAGGGTATAGCCACTGACAATCTAATTTACTAATCTAAACTACCAATCATTAAAATGAATCTATATACAGGACATATAAATAATGATAATAATAATAATATCTTGACCGTCTGACCAGAAGGATCATGTCTGATAACAGAGCCCACCACCCTCGTTCCTCTCTTAACCGTTTAGACATGCCAATCAATTCTGGAGGTCGGGGTTTGATTAATGTGGAGGCTCTTCATGATAGAATTTTATTGTGTACTTTTGCACATATCTATTTATCGGATGATCCTCTAGTGATGAATGTCAAGAATCATGATGAAAGCAAGGAATTCCACAGCTATTTTAAGCGTGCCAAGGTTGTTGGACAGAATGTGAGATTTCAGGTTGATTTTGTTAATGGCGATGTACTGCTGGACGGTACAGCGATGGGAGTAAACCAGGTGAAGTCCTTCACCAAGTCTGCTTAGAGTCGGTCTTTTGTGGAGAAGCTTCCTGAGAAGCCATTGCATCGTGTGTACATGCAGTGTGTGGAACAGAACAGCAATCCCACCGACTCCTTCGCCTGGATGAAGTCGGCTGGTCTTAAATGTGAAACTGAGGGCTTTCTTTTTGCTGCTCAGGACCAGTCACTTCCCACTCGCAATCGCCTAAATGTGATTTTTAAAGAAAATATCAATATGAAATGTCGACTTTGCAATGAATTCACGGAGACTGTCCAGCACATTGTCAGTGGAAGCCCTTCCTTGGCACAAACAGCATATCTTAAACGACATGATGGCATGGCTCGTTGCTTTTACTACCGTCTCCGACATGCCTTTGGCTTTGACTCCGAGGTCCATCCATGGTACGACCCTGAACATGTC